AAAAAAAATTATATGTTCAAGTAATTATAACTTTTAAGCCTTCTAATCTTTTTCTTTTACATTTTTTCACATATTTTTATTAATTTATTTTATTATTCTCTTTATATCACTCCCTCCCGTTTTCTATTCTTTTATAAAAATTTGGATACAGCGTAACTTGTGTATCAAAATTATTCTGATTATAATAGATAAATAGTATTGTAACATTCATGTTAACAAGACAGAAAGCAACATCAATTTTTTCTATCATTATTCTCATAACGGATACAAAATTAGTCATATGTGAGATACTGAAGGTTTTAAAAAGGATAACAAGCTAAAAGAGTTACACATTCTTGCTGATACTCTATAAAACATCTGCGCTGCTTAAGGGGATTAAAGTTTGATCCTATTATAGTAGTTTGCAGCAATTTAACGACAAACCGTGAACAATATCCACGAAACGATGCTGCAAGAGGAAGCGATGACATGCAGCTATTCTGGGTATGATAGTTTTCAGGAAGCCAAAGCCATGCGATTCGAATGGGTCAACGAGTGCCTATTCGACCAGATTTCGGCCCCAGTCGTTTCTTGGACAAACTTCAAACGGCTCTATTTTTACAAAATGAAAGTGATGCGATGAGGGAATGAAAGAGACAAAAGCTAAAGTTACGTTTTTCATTGCATATGTCATTATAAATGGATTTCGAGAATCTAGCGTAGTTAGAGCTCGCGAAAAAGGTTAAATAAAAATCGTAAGAATATGAATATTTAAAATTGAAAAAACCATCTAACAGGCTCTTATATTTCGTAACGATTGAATGTTTAACTAGAGTTTATACAGCAAATAGATGATAACTTTCTAAATACCTATGAAATTATTATTCGTAACAAGAATTAATAACGTAATTATGATAGAGGAATATTATGCTTTTAGCCTCACAGTTCTCGTTATTTGGAGATCATACGAACCGTTTCAAGCTTATTCGGAAAAACACGCTGACCAAAATATGGCCGAGCTACTGACTCATCCGCATTGGCATACGCTCTCTGAAAACTGCATCGACAGAATGCATCCTCTCGTTAGCGCGGATAAAACCTCCCCCGGTCCGCGATCGAAGTGGCATCAGCACGGAATATATCGGTGCTTTGAGGCGAACTTTTCAATTTGCGCTGAAAAGTCCTGCTCGAGCTAATGCTCGTAATCAATACATTTGGCATGCGTACGCAGACAAACGTATGCATCACGAACGGACGAATGTACGGGCGAATTTACAGGCGGATGGGCACGCAAGACATCCTCTCGAGAGAGCCGGGATGGGACTCAGGATTGAATTTGCGGCGAGAATTATAAATTACGGAGCTCGAAATTGGATCAAGGAGGATGGGGAGAGGGAAAATGTTGTTGGAGATGATATTAGGAATGGTAACGGGCGAATCAATTTTTGACGTCAGGTGCGTGATCGAAATTACATACCTCGATGGAGCGCATCGGGTACGTTTAACCCGCGAGCGGCTGATTTATTTCCGACCGCAACTACTGCGACGAAGTCATTTATTATCATCAACATGCATAAGTCATTAGAAAAAAATATTTTTCTAAGAGATTATGTGTGTGGTATAATATATATATATATATATACTATTAATGTAAAAACAGATTTTTAACAGGATAAAAATAACAGTATAATAAATTCTATAAATTTGTTTACCAATGTACGTTTTAGCTTTTGTAGAGGATAAAATAACGTTCCTCGAAATTTGATAAATTAGTACATCATTTATTTAATAAGGCCAAAGTAATTTTATCATAATAATTATACTGATCGTATGTTTAGTATTATCGGCAAATTGAAAATTTGTCGATATGCGTATATAGCAGCTTTAGTAGTTTATTTAGCCTTATAAAAGGACGTGAGCCTTTTAATCTACAACGAGCGTACATACATACATACTCCCGTGATGCTTTCTCATTCCGTTCGCCAAATTAATTTGTAGCGCGGGGGGAGAGAAAGATAAAATGTATATATGAGATCCAAATGCAATTTGGTTAACGTATTAATTACGATCGTATTGAAACTGTTGGCTAATTAATATTACGTAATATTGGATTTAACAGTCGGTTCGATTTCAAAACTTCTACAAGAGATACGCAATATTCTAGTAAGCCGCAAAATAATTTCTTTTACGAATCACAAATTAGACTTAGTAGGATATTTCTATAATATTGGATGGTAACATTAACAATTAATTTATAATGGTTTCCTCAAGCATTGTTATGTTACTGCAAATTAATGAGTAAATCTCATATATGAGCGACACGATTATCCTATCAAATCATAATAGTGTATATCGTAAAAACAATATAATGATTCAAAGGCTAGTAACAAGCTTATTTATACTGGTATCGAAAATGCGGTTCGATTGTAGTTATACAGCGATGCCGGCCGTGAAGCTAAAATCAATACTCATTTGGCCGCTGTCTGCCGCAGCATAGTTTCGCAAAAAGCGTTAAAATCTGCCTGAACGTTTCAGCCGGGCATCGAATTGTCGATAAGGTTAAAACGCATGACATCACGACGTACTGATTTGAGGGAGATTGATGAGAGAGAAAGACAGAGAAAACTCGCGGTTTTCTGCCATATATACGTGTATATATATGTATGTGTGTATGTGTGTATATGTATGCACCAGGTTAAATCAGTGTATTGTTGGGGATGGTCAGAGATGCGAAACGGTTTGAGGTCAGTGTGTTACACGGCCAGGCCATGGTTAGTGATTTTTTTGCCGAACCATTTCCCATGATCGGGCGATTTTACCGGCGAATTGTTTTTTCGCAATTTGTGCGAAAAGCGTGCACTACGTTAGTCGAGTTCGCCTAGCTTTTTATCAAATGCGTTTTTACACTTGGGAGAATATCGATACTTTGCAACTTATCCTCATTGTATAAAACGTATATCTAAGCACGTGACATTGTTTCTTTATTTGCAAACCACGTAATGGAAAGATATTTTCTCGTTCCACAACAGTGATATATTCTATCAAGTTATAATAAAGACTAACATAGAAATAAAATATAAATTATCATGTAGAATATCGAAAATACATGTAATCAAGATATTTTATAATAATTCTATAATTATAAAAGCTATAATTAGATATATATTCGGTTCTCGATTTTATCTTGATTTATTAAGTAGATCCTCATTTCTCTTCGGAGAGATCATATTTATAATTGTAGCAGATAATTATAACAGATATATATATATATATCACCAATACATTGTAAATTTAAATAACAAAATTTAAATATATATAATCTATTGAAGTTTATATTTAAATCGGGCACGTACTTATGCAATCACCTGATATATATATTTTTAATATTTTTTTGGAAGTTATATTGGATGAGGAGATTACAATGTAATCACTAGTTATAACTGCAAAATTACATTGCATCTTAATGTTAGTCTTTTTCCTGTTATTAAGTATATTATATTCTGAATGGCAAAAATAATATTCTATATGTATATAATTCGATATAAAAATTGAGAACATCTCAAAAAATCCCATCACGCGAGCTAAATATAACAGCAAACGACATTGGTGGAAATTTGATCGAAAGTTTTTCATTATGATCAGAAATATATTTCTAAGCGTGCAGATGGCGGCTAAGAAGGAAGGAAAGTTTCAGCGTCGTATATTTTCCCCCTTCTTCCGCCGTTTCCATTATGCATACAACATACTTGATGGTATGACTGTGCAAAAAAAGAAGTGAGGCACAACCTTAATCTCGACTTACCCCGCTCCGTTCTTCTTTGCGCATTTTATATTTCGAGAGATATCTTTCAAAACAAAGCAACTTTTCTCGCAAATATAGATGGTTATAATTAGCCAGCGTTTGATTTTATACTAAAAAAAAAGTATTTATTATACAGTGAAATCTAACGCGTATTTAGGGCGAGGTATATTTACGTTCTTTTACAATGAGAATAATGATAAAGAAATTCAGTTCGCTAATACAATATCCAATGTCATATTTAACGCAAATATTCAAAGTTATACGAAATAATATGAGTGAATATTTGACAGAGAATTCATTACGATCAAAATTATTGTATGCTATTACCTGCGAGTTTTCAGATGCAGATATCAGAGAAACACATTTATTACTAATTATACGTACATATATACGCACAACGCGTATTCTATATATTAGACTCTCTTCCTATATTATGTTATAAGCGATCAGAATTTTGTATCAATGCACATATTTTGCCCAATACTATATGGCTATATTCCCCAATTAACAGTGTCCATTAGCAGAACTTAACAAGCCGTTATAATCCAGAGACAACGATCGTTGTCATCGTTCGTGATCAATTACAAACTTGTCTGTATTCAGCCGTAAACTTTACGGAAGGCGAAGGATTATGTTACCCCAACCGAGACCTACTTTTGTACTATGGAGAAAATCGAGTACACCAAACTATGGTTCTACTTACATCACACGTCATTGAGTATTAACAATGTACGCATGTATATCGTTCGATAATGTCACTTACGATAACAAAACAATCATTACCATGTATGATCAATAAATCTTACGCGTTTGGCATATTAATTTGTTTGACGCGTATAAATTGTCAGCTTCAGTTTTTTTTATTATAAAAAGTTTATTTTATAAAATAATAATTATCAATTGTGAAAGAGGAGTAATTAATCCATCTACTAAAAATGTAGACAGATGTAGTTAATTGACAAAGCACAGACAAATAATATTTATATTAGGTATTAATAGCCTTTTAATATACCAGAAAAATAAGATAGTAAATACTAACTTTCGTCTAGATTCTAGATCGATGTTGTGTTCTCGTATTTACCTTCGTATTGTGTGATTATTATTATATTTCTTTATATTATGAAATTTAACCGTCGAATCTCTTTTCGGTTCTCTATTACTAAGGATCTAATGAATTCTTTCTCAAAACTTTAGGAAAGAAAGTTAAGTCTCTACTCACATCGCACGTCGAATCTCACTTCGGTGCTGGACGACATGGTAGGATTGGCGTATGCCGGATGGATGGCAACGCATCTGATCGGCTGGCCGTAACGTGATCGCTCGGCCAGAATCTCGCAAACACTGTAGGTCGCCCAAGTGCGTGGATTATCTATCTCGGTCGAGTTTACCTGAGGCCGCAATGTCCTCAGCTCGATCTCGCCAACGTACCTGCATATCGCCCGGAAAATTTGCATTTCCAATGGCTGTTCTGCAACAGCTCTTACTCGCTCCCCTTCAACATTTTACCCTCCTCGTCAGCCTCTTCTTCGGGCCGCGCGCGACTCGCTCTATCTTACGCGCACGTTCCCCGTTCACGTCATTCTCTTCCAGCTCCTGCCCTTCTCGCTCATCCTTCTCGTTTCCCAAGCCTTCCTATCGGGGCTCATCGTCGCAAATTATTCCGAGTTTTGCTCCGATAAACAACGGCACTCTCGCGAATTGAGCCTCTCTCTCTCGCTCTCAATGTGCTTAGTTATTATAATATATAATACGATATAATAAGGATAATACAAAAATATTACATCCGGCCTATTTCTTATGGATTCTTGAACAAATCTGATTTTACGAAAATAGAGAAGAGCAGATCGATATATTCGTATCGTTGAATCGTGTTGCATATTAAATTTCGCTTGAAAGTTAGCTACGCGATTCTGAGTTTTCTTTTGCAAATTTTTTTTTTAAAAAGTGAATATATATTTAAGCTTATTCATTAAGCTACTCTCTTTTACTTTTTAATCCTCGGCCGGCAAACATCACGTCTCTCATAACCCACTTTAAAAGTTTTTTTATCGAAGTTTAGCAGCATAAGTTGAAAATTAATTTCGGCGAGTGTTTACGTTATTTGAATCATTCGCGTCATTCTATCCTGTCCAATCTTCTGTCCCCCATCTCTTTCTTTTCAATTTACAAAAGCGTTGGAAATTTCATTTATCTGTATTGGCTACAATAACACGAATATAATGCGAAATGTAACAAATATTTACAATATATTTGTAATACCCGTTCAATAATTGAAACAAATATTTCATGTATGCATTGAATAGAATTAAAATAAATATTATTTATATATTTT